GGCGCGAAAACGGGGTGCAGTACTGTACCAGCAACTGGCATTCTATAGCTTCATTTTTTCACAATTTAGCTGAGCTTTATACTATTGTTTATTTATCTTACTTGGAGGACAGCTTTAGCTGGCTGGACAGCCTAACCATTTTATTACATTGGCGGTGTGGTAGGGTTTAATCCTTTCGTTCAATTGCGCGATTGTTACCTGAGTCGATAGTCCACAGACTGACCAGGGTACAGAATATTTAACGTACGCTCTGTGATAAGTGTTGCGAGAATGTTGCTAGGAAGCGTGATCACCCAATGCGAGAAGCCGCTCATTATTGAAGACAAAGGCACCGGGATGACATCTGCAGCAGTGGTAATAATTTGGATCCTTCGTATAATTATCAAAAGATCGGAATATATCCAGCTCGTCACTCATCAGCACCACCTTAACCAGAATACTCTAAGCAAGTTGGCCCAATAGTGATTCTAGCTGTTATCGCTTGGACCCACTTGTCTTGGCTGTACATGCTGCAACAGCTCTTTTCTCGATGCCCGTGAAGTAATCGTCCTCTGTCGGCTGCACTTTGGGCCATCAATTTATTGCTTGTCTGACACAACAATAATGTTGACATTTCATCTGCAAAGCTCAATAACTGAATTCCCTTCTCTCTGACAATCATTTTTCTTTAAGCTATCTATTGTGTTAGCATGTACAATATATATATGTAGGTTGTTGACAGGTAATTTGATGACATTCGTTATTCAGCCAGACTGGGTAACAGGAGACATTACAATTACACCAGAATACACTCGATTAGCATGCCCGAATATGCCAGACTCAGGAAGAGCCGGACACGGCATCAGTTGATGTGTCTTCGGGAGTATACTTATAGCTGGAAGCTCGATGTTTGTCGGTTTCGAAACTGAACCTGCAAGACATTCAGCAGACTGCGCTGGGGATATCTAACTCTTAAAACAAAGTGCAGGGTGAATGACCCGGAGGTAGTCATGTCATCAACACACACAAACAGAAGACCAAATCATTGAAAACTTGTTCAGCCAAATGCACATGCAGAGATACCGATAGCGTAGATACTGCACCTCCTTCCTACTTAGCGCACTTATAGTAGTAGCACCGGCAAATATCTCGAATGCCAACAGTATGTACATGCCACAATTGTAACAATCGACCTGCACTCCAAGATCACTTTCGTACATTCGGACTCGGTACTTTCTTGGGGCGAAGTCTGGTAGCATCGTCACCAATTTGTCAGCAAGGGGGCGAACCTTCACTCCGCAGCTGGAATTCATCGGGTCGTAGACTAATACGTCTTTACATGTCAGGTCAATCATGACGGAGCACCAGTGATTCTTGCCGCAGATGATCGGAATCAAAATCTTCTCACCTGTAGCACCTACAAACACGCCCTTCATCGTATGGATTGATAAATAGCCGTTCATAGCGTTCCCCGCGATGGACGTGTCGACTCCAATCGTGTCTACGCTTTCTGCAAACAGCTTCAACACTAAAGTGTTAACGGTGCAGTCACCCAATGGCGACTTGCCAACGAACTCCAGTGCTTCCGCCTATATTAAAGAAGGTGGTATAAACGACAGTAAATCCATTGTATCAATAAATGTACGTTAACTGTACCTGCACGGACAGAAGTGGGATGGACTTCAGCTTAGCAAGTATATCTGGGTCTGGATCAACTTGGAAATGTTTGGGCATCTGTAGATCGAAATCAATAGTATCGATCTAGTTTATAGCTTTGTCCACGTGTTGTATGCTTTTCATCGCTCTGTGCCACTTTTTCATTACACCCAACGTCTCGGTAGTGTATGTTCCAACACCGATTACTTCCACTGCAATTTCTTGCTCGCCTAGATTTACACCCGATGAAAATTTATGCTTCTGCTGCAGGACTGAGACTTTGGCGCTGCACTTCTCAATGAAGTCTTTGCGAAACACACGGGTTATGGATTCCACATGATATATTTTCTTCGCCGGTGGTAAGCTCGCTCTCTCGTGGGCTACTGGAGCCCGGGGAGTTTTACTGAACTCATACAGCTTGAATCGCGATAGGGTAGCGGCAGATGTATCGTATGTAGGCACGCCTTCAACAGCATCTCGCACAGTAGCCAGGCTCAAATATGCTGTGTACAAGTCTGAGTCCTCCTAGACGATCGTGGTATTCTTTCGACGAGCAGCTTTCTTCGACTTCGCTGTTTGCTTTGGGCGCCCGCGGAATCTAGGAGGCTCGCTACGTGAAACTCATCATTCCCTACTTCTCGAAGAGTCGATGTCAACTCTTGGGTTTTCGATTCAAGATGTTTGCCAGATTGGGTGCCAGACTTGCCAGACTGAGTGCCAGACTCGCCAGACTGAGTACCAGACTCCTCGACTTGGCTGTTCTCAATGGCTGAACTCGCTTTAGCTAACTGGGTAGAAGGAGGTGAGTCTGATAGCCGATCGTTTTGTTTTTGACTGGATAAAGTGCCGAAGTCACAATGCTTGAACCGACGAGCAACGTCCTTCAGATACTCCATCGCTTCTCGGTATTGTGCCATTCCCAATCCAGACATCGAGCCACAAATTTCACTAGCAATAGGCAGCGCCTCACGATACTTGCGGTTTGAGTCCCAAGGTCGATCATCCGTCGCCACAACCCGACGAATAGCGAAAGATTCAATAGACACACAGTTGTCACTTGAGCCCTCGAACTCTATCGAGGACCTCAAAGAAGACAAGATCCACCGACGATTGAGAAGTTGTGTCGGGATAACAGTTTCTTTGCCGAGTGCTCTTCTAAGAAAGAAAACATGACGACACAGCAGCAAGCGCGTGCTCATAAAGAGACACGAACAAGTCCAGTTGGCCTCAGAAACAGTATACTCGGTCTCACCCTCGTCAAGGGCATCTTCCTCAGTGCTTGTGCTCTTGACAATATATACGCCCGGGCTCCGTTCCGAAAAATTGTATGATGCACGGCCAAGTGCGTATACGTATTGGTCTTGTATCAGCTCGCACGCGTGTTCGCTGACACGTTTAGCCACGAGAGTCATTTCTTGATCGTATCCAACATGCTAAATGTTAGCCTTCTTGTAGACTTCATCCATGAACCGTCGTTCTTTAAGCGTTTAATAGTACATGATAGACGCAATGCATTCGTCCACAGCCATGAACGAATTTACCCACTCTTTCAGCTGCTTCCAGGATGCCTCCAATCTATTATTGGTGTTATTGCCGAGAGTGACGGTGTTTTGCCGCTTGTGTGCACACCATAACTTACGACAATTATCCCAGTTTTGATGAAATAGGCAGCAAATGGGTGAGTGGTGAGTTCATTTGTCGCAACAGCCACATCCGCGGGTTCAACAGAGTTGGGATCCAGATTCTGCCCGACTGGAGCCAGATTCGCCCCGACCGGAGAGGGATTCGATTTGTTTGTAGCCCTATCCTGCCCGATTGAATCTGAAGACTCTGGCCTTGAACGACCAACCTCGCACACATGCAGCATGTACCGGAAATGCCCCATGTACTCCTTCTCCGTCTTCGCGTATACGAAGAGGTCGATGAGCCCTCGCAGCTGATCCCTGTCCCACGTGTTGCAGCCGTAATCCGATGATGAAATTTCCTTCATCAAGTACTTTAATACGTGAAACTGGCAGAGTAGAATAGTGACGCGGGGAATGATGTCTTCAAACAGAAAGCTCCGTGAAATCCTTGTCGATGAGCACGCGTCCAAGACGGGTTATTCGTCTTAAATTATTCCAGTGCAGTCAGCAATGTTCTCCACTGCTCGTTGTGGAGTAGGGCATGCTGTACGAACTGGCCTTTTCCAATGGTGTCGTGTGCCATGAAAGAAAACCCCTTTGTACTTGGATCGATTAGTTCCATGCATTGCGTCAATTAGAAGTACCTCCGGAAATTGAGCAAAGATCGACCGCATGTGTTTGGCTTGAAGCGTAATACAGGCTGCCAATTTCTAACATAATGAAACGGTTAGATAGGCAATCACGGAATAAAATTTGCAACATAAACGTCGTCTATCATACCTTTTCTCCCACATCGTCCACGAAGATGCGCCCCACGTTGTCAGGAACATCGACAAATTCGGACATCCACTTCCCTAACCGCTTTGAACTAGAGGTTGGGGTTATTCCTTGTTTGTGAGCCTTCAATTTGCGAACCAATTGTGAATATTCTGCGGCTTCGGATTGCAATCGGAATTGCCCTTGATAAAATTGAGAATGCTTGTCGTTTTCGCGCCAGCCTTGCGGAGCTCGTCCACTGTCTCTAAAGCAGTCTCATCGAGGGACACACGGTTAGACGAGTGGCTTTTGAAAGCGTACTCGTTCAATGTGTGGTTGTGTTCAAGGTGGCACTTCGTAATCATTGCAGCAAATGTATGGGTAGCTTTGTTGATCTCTTGAGCGCACACATTGATCTGAAAACAACGAAATATTGCCAGCAGATATTAGCAAATTTGTCCGATCAAACTAGTCGATACTAAATCATACCAGACCATGCCAGATTGAACCAGATCATGCCCGAATGAACCAGACCATGGCCGATTGAATCTGGCTTTACCCCATTGATCATGTATCTTGCACAGCACACCCGACATTCTAATTTGCAGCAGCAACATACCTGGGCAGAGCAGCCAGAAGCTCGATTCTCCTGACGAGGCCTCTTACTTGTGGGCTTGCGATCGGAATTTGCCGTAATGCGTACACACGTATGTTTTTGCGTACTGGTCCCACTCGTCGGGAACCTTACACGCCTTGGATCCCTGGGCATCTATTCGAGCATTTCGTACTGGAACTTAAGTGTTCGTTCTGGTACGGTAGATCAAATATTGTATCGATAACATGCCAACCAATTAGCTTAGATAACACTGAATAAGATTTAAAAAAAACTTGTCACACTGTACCTGGAACGACCGAGCGTACTGCGCAGGGTATGCCTCGAATTCTTCCCACGACCTGAACTGCGTCTCCCCCGGAGGCGGAGCGATGACACAGACTGGTCCGGCTTCCTCGCTAGCGCTACTCGTCTTCGTCGTTTCCACACGAGGTGGGCTTAGTGACGGCCCCCACTCACTCAAAGAGCCGCCGGATGCGGCGCCGTCACTGGTATCGTCGCTGGCGTCTGCCAACAGGGCGCGCTTTGGAGCGCTGCGTGGGCGCGGCGGCATTTGGGTCCGTTGGCGCCACGAATTTGCTGGAGGGGGGGTTGTGTGTGAGGGGTATACGCAGAGTATACGCTGTACCCAGTTCGGATATGGAAGATATCAGCAAATCCTAGCAAATCCGAAGATAACACATGATTTGCTGGGAGTAGGATGCTCCCTGTCTGGCAAAATACTCACTCTCTTAAAAAAAGTTTTTGCTTTGTTAAATACCCTCTCAGTCGTTATACCATTACTTTCTCGAGTGTTGTTGCTACTTAAGTAGTAGCTAAGCTAAAAACAGAATAGTAATTCTTTTTTTAGTAGTACGGGTACTACAAAGAGTTAGTAGTACTGTAATAAAAAGACAAGTGGCACTATACAATTCAGTACAAGTGATTAGTCACCAAGGAAGCAAATTGTGAAATAATAGCGGGAGCCTCCTACACAGTATGATGAATTGAAGCTGATAAGATTGACAGGACGAGGGGCTCTTTTAATAAACGAGAGGTGCTCGGACTTTTATCCAGTGAGCTCCCTTATGAAGAAATCCATGCGTCAGATTCTACTCGTACGTTTTCGCTGCTGGCGATCGCCGCGGCCACCGAGCTACTATGGCTCTTGCAGTGGATACTACTGATCCAGAGTTTCCTGTGGGGGTAGCCACTGACGAAGTGCTATCAATGCAAATGATGCTCAAGTGAAAGCAGGGCTTCGATGAAGCAGCGGCGACAGGTGCGAAATGGAAAATATTACGAGCGTGTCCACTGGCTGACGGTTCAGGACAAGGAAGAATAGATCGGGAGGTACTACGGGAGCAGCTCGCTTCCGTGGTGGATGACGTATTACGGCATCATCAAGAGCCCCTGGCTGTTGCGTCCACTTAAAGAACGGGTCCAAGATGCTAAAGCATCTTAGTTTTCGAGTGAGATGGTCCATAAAGACTTAGCAGTGTCCCGTACCCGGGAACGAAGGGGTCATTCCAGGAGCTCGGCCTCCCGTCGGGATGACTCGAGACCCTGGAATCACTCCTCGCCCCGCCGTCCCGTCAGGGTGGTTCCCGTTGAACCCAATCACGCACGTGCCCCTGACCGAGCCCGTTAGGGTGGTCCTATAAGGGGGCTCCAGAACGCCGGTGTCTTGGCGTCGTGGGACCAAAAGCACCTCGCGACATCAAGCCCCTTCCCAGAAGCTCTCCGTTGTTCCACGCAGGCCGACTACAAACGAAGTGAATCCTTCCTTTTTTTATATGAAGTGTAGTGTATGGTAGGCCGAGAAGGTGTTAGACCTCTCTTCCGGTTAGCTCTCAGTCTTATATTTCCCAAGAGGAAGCCAAGCCAATCAACAAACTTTTATTTTTCAACTTACGAGTGTTCCTATCTACCGCTCCTGCAGCCACTGAACAAGACCGTACTCCCTGAACAGCCGCGGACTACCCGACCCTTGAAGGAAGAGGAGGTATACGACATCTGGTGGAGAAGCAGGGTAGTCTGCTTGCTGGAGAAGGTCTTGTACCCAGTGAAGTCTCGCGAAGAACGTCAGAAGGAAGGACAAGATGTCGGCTACTAGCAACAGAGAAGATGAGAGCGCCACTATCCGGGAAGAAGAAGGCCCGACTGGGAGTCTGCCTTCGAGAATGCGACCCAGTCTGTCGACTACGCAAGGCCTCCAAAACGTGCAGAATATCGTAGACCAAGCGGCTAACCGACTTGGGGGGAACAACTCTAGTACTGGTGTCGAGCCACCCGCGGACGCTTTGGGCTCCAAGGTTCCTGCGACCTTCACTACGGAAGAGTTGGGCCCGATGATGACCCTGGACGGCGGCGGTGGCCGAGGTACGGTGCAAGGTTGGCTCAACTCCCTCAACTGGTTATACCCCCCCCCCCCTGCCTACATCATTCCGTACACCCGTCGACGATATCCAGACGAGCGAAAATCGATAGCAACCCTTCCCCCTGACAACCAGATGAAATGTACGGAGCAAATGAGCCACTTTATCGGCAGCTATAGGTTTGTATTACCTTTTTTTAGGTTTGACATTCTCTTCAGTACTACTTGTATTAGCTGGTCGTTTAAGCCGAGTTAATAGTGAACTCTTATTTATTATTATGGTTCATCCCGTGAAAGGAATCCCTTTAATAGGAATAAAAAGAGACTGTCAGTACTGTTCTTTTTAAAATTCCCTTCGCGGTGCTTTGAGCTAAGAATCTATTACTTTTAGCAATACGATCAACGAGCACTTAAGTACGATCTGAGCCGTATTAAAATAGCAGGAAGTTTGTAAGCGAGTGCAATGAATATGACCAAATTTGGTCGGAAGTCACAATACGAGCAATGAACCAGCCAAAACATCGCAGTTTCACTTTTTATTCGGAAATGTAGGGATTTAGACACAAATTGCATCACCATTTAACCTCTTTTTCTACTGTGGAAGTTAGAAATTTCCAGAGAGTACACGGTGGGCCTGAAACCCGGGTTGGAATCGCTGTGTCCTCGATTCTAAAGTGGAACTTTATTAACTGTAAAAAAGTTATGCTTCGCTGGTGCATTTACATCCAACAAGGGTAACCATCAATGTATTTTTTTTAGCAAAATTTTAGAGCTCTTCGGGCGTCACGATTTCGTCAGCGATGGTAAATAACAGCTAGATATTAATTGTGCCTCTAAGGAAATGCAAACATGTAAGCGCACGGGGAACTACCAATCCGGTTCTACATCAACTTTTTATCGCTCCCCCCCCCAGCTTCAATACGCACCCAGCCATGTAACATCTCATTATACCAGGTACTACTTTAACCATGAAATGGCTCATTTCACTCTATAGGAAAGTGCTGACACTGATGCCAAGAGTTCGGGTTTCGTTTTAATTACTTACCGTATTGATCGCTATTTTGCTTCTGCTACATCATGAAGATGATGATTGCCCGTATACAGATTACGGATTTACTGGGGGGGGGCGGTGAATCGTCTGCGATCATTTCCTTACGCATTTACTGGGGTGGGGGGAAGTGAATCGTCAGCGATCATTTCCAAACTTTCGACAGCCAGCCATCACCGCACCACCTGCTCATGGACGTTTTCGCTCTCCATCCCCCCAACGGCAGATCGATGAGTGACGAAATCGTTGGTACTGTCATCCAGCGTATTCAGCCAGCAAAAGTCTTCATGCACCAGCACCAAGTGCCATGCAGTTTTAACTTCCCATTAAACCTAGACGAACAAGTTGTCGTCGATACACGCTCCAAGAATACCGAGACTGAAACAGCTAAAGTCTATATATCAACGGGAGCTCTCAACAACAAGAACCGTCGTCAAAAGTACCGCCGAGTTATACAGGCGCGAAGCAGGTTGAAGAAACAGCGGTATGTGTCGGGTCTCGAATGTGACGTCCGAAAGTTGCATCTTGAGATAAAGCAGCTTGGTGTACAGCGTTGCAAGGCTTTACTCGGTCTTCCGACCCATCAAACCGCCTGGACTGTCGCGTTGGAGTATTTCCGCGTCCTTTGCCGCGGATTCAAGAACCCACCACAAGAACTGTACTCGTTTGCGTTGAGGTTTCTACAAATATCAATGTCACCCGACGTAGCCGATGGTGTTGTGGTCGGGCACACGCGATTCTTAAGAACTGGGGACGATTTTCTTGGTGTTTTGACGACGTCCGTGTCGATCTCGACCGTCTGGAGAAGGATTCGGCTAATTCGTTGCGTGCCATCACCACCACAAGAGCTACTATTTCCCACGATACGTTACGAGTTCTTTTTCTACACCTTAACGGTCATGGAAAAAATGGCAAGCAGTCACTGCTTGAGTGTAAGCTGCTGAGATATCGGCTTATCGTGCGCGGGTCGGTGCACTTTGAATGGATGACAGGGAGGACCGCGTATCAAGCATGGATACCCGGTCGGATATGCTGACTCCGTTGCTACGCTTACTGGGAAACTTGGAGGACGTAAATCGCGTGTTCCAGGGTGCTCTTGTCACTACAGATTGTAGGATTCTCGTTTAAACTAACCAGATAGAGCTTTGCTAGGATTAATGTCACGATGCTGGGACACTCGAACAAGATGGCAGGTGGAGGTGCCGTAGTCGCTGTCGTTGTCAGTATGATATGGTTCGGTATTGTACATAAGAGAAATGCATGCAAACGAATGTATAATTACGATTGATTGGTATCTGCACCGATTTCTTGCTAAGCTCATTGAGGTCTTCTGTCACTCACCAGCACTCAGGTGTCAACAAAGCTCCAGCAAATACTCGACCCACGTCGATCAAGCTACTCAGCAATCGGAGCACTGGTGTCAACATGTACGATTGGTTCTCCGTGCGTGACAAGTCGCAGGCCTAGCAGTATCGAAGAAAGATTCGGCAGCTTCTTAGTGCTAGCGGTACGCTGTCCACTGTTGTCAGATGCGGAAATACTAACGGCAACGTGTCCTTAGAAATGGTGACGCTAGTCACTGTAGCTACAACAAGTGTATTTGACACGTATCTCTCCTCCAACCGTTCGGACACGACGTAAATGTCGTCAAAGCACAGTGAGAACCCTCATGCTGGTGTGATACTAACCACCACCATTACGCAGCTTCACCGATTTCGTGTTAGACTCACGCCTCATCCTATCACACAAATACACTTTCATGTGTTTACTTTTTCGCATTATATATGTTTAGAAAAATGTCAACTGAGTGCACTAGGAATCAAGCCATCTCGGAATGCGATGGTGCACCGTGTTAAGGCGTCCTACAGTTTAACTATTGCATTGAAGAGTGCTGAAGATCATCAACAGCAAATGTGCTCTCTCCCCAGGCTACCAGGTCAAAACTGACAATCAGGTGTTACCAGAGCACTTTGAAACACGAGACTCACATCTTCCAAGGTGCCCAGCAGCCGTAGCAGCGGTGTCAGCATATCCGATTGGCTTTGGATTCTTGCTACGCAGCCGACGGTGCTGTCCCAGTCGAAGTACACCGATCCGCGCATGACGAGGCGTTGATTCAAAAGCTTGCAGCCAAGCGACGACCAATTGCCCCCTTCGATACCTCCTCGTCCATCACTATTCAAGTGCGGAAACACTGTACGCATGGTTCTTTCAGAAACGGTAACGCTGGTAGTAGTGACCGCGGTCAGCGATTGACCAGTGGCAGACTTCTCAAGTCTTTCGACTTCGACGTAGACGTCGTCGAAGTAATCCGAAAACAGTCTCCATTTCGCAAGTATGGACTCAACGCCACACTGACGCCCATTCACCACATTTGAAGCCATCGATACGCGCAGAAAATTGAGTGCAGCAGTTCGAAGTGCTTCTGGTGGTGAGCGGAAGCCATGTCGGAAGAGTAGGAAATACTCCGTTGCGATGGTCCAGAGGGTTTGATGGGTTGGAATGCCAATGGAGGCGTTGTGGCGCCGGACTTCAAGCTCTTGTATCTCGCGCTCTATCTTTCGAACGCCTTCCCCCAGGCTTAGTACCAGCTCCCGTTGTTTCATCCGGTAGCGAACTTGATTTCTTCGACGACGCTCCCTGTGTAGAGCTAGGACCCGCTCGTGGTCTTGGACAACCCGTGTCAATTTAGCCACGTAGCTGCGTTGGTCGGCATCTTGGATATCGGCAGCAGCTTCGATACTGGTCGTTGTTTCCGAAAGAGACCGAGGATGTTTACTACCAGATAGAGGAGTGCTCTTTTCTCGAGCTCGTCTCGTTGTTGACGATACAGCAGGCGCCTCGACGGTAGCTCGACCGGCGTTACTCTTCGACGATGGGGGCATGCTCGCCCCGTAAAGTACGCGACTTGATGCTGCTTTTGTGCGCAGGACAACAGCACCAACAATCTCATCGCTGAGTGATTGTCTGTTGGGTGGATATAGAGAGCCAGCCGACATGGCAGCTTGGATCTCACGACTTGAAGTACAGAATTAATTTGCATAATAGCTCTACCAGTAAGCCGCTCGACCCATGCCCCCCACATTGGAGTTTAAACATGGCAAAGTCTGTGTTCGATAATCGTATTCAATTCCATTTTTTCTGCAAAGACATACATGTACTTATAAGTAAGTAGTTTGCAAAAAAAAGCACTGTACAATGTACCAATTTTATGGACCTACATGCTTCAGCTGACAGAAATGCGTCCCTTAGATAGAATGACAGAGGACTTTTCCTATGTCTTCCTAATTATGTTCGCTCTGTTTCACAATAACCTCGTATGAGCCAGGATAGCTCACACAGAACTATTGTACTGATCGTCTTTAGCAAACGATTCCGCTTTTGCCATTGTGGGTCAACACGGGTTTTGCTTGTGTGGACCAAGATCATTTGGACAGGATGTCGGGTGGCTGCAATCAAGGTATAGGAGTAGCACGACTACGAAGGGTGGGGTTAAAAAACATTGATTGGTCTGCGGACACCAGCAAGCTAGCTGAAAGAAACAAAAACAAAAACAAGTAAATGTACAGCGCATTAAGTACTTGATTATGGACACCGATGAGTCCGATGAGTTTGTAGCTCGAGTGCTGTCCAATCCACAATATTCTTGAAAAGGGATATCCGGTGTTAACGGTGATAAAGTACACCCAAATCGGGCTATCACCAATTTAAGAACGGCAAAAATAATAATGCCAAACGTACATTCAGGAGCATCTATCGGCGTACCACGACGATGTACTACTAGTACAGACTCAACTCCCACAAATGATTTTCACGGGAGACTCGGTTGCGGCGATCATTTTTTATAAGAGCATTTCCTAGGCAAAAAATATATTTTGATTAAATATATGTGGTCCACATAATGTTAAAGACAGTCCAGGGACCATCAGCGTATCATGAAACGTACTTTAGCGGAGAATATAGTAAGTATTATTTAGAATATAATATTTTTAATTTCTAAGCTAGTAAAAAATATCGTATAAGCTTTAGAAAAAAAATCTACTATTACTACTTAATTTCGAAAATATTACTATTTATGTCAAAAATATCATATGATATTTGCTTACCATTAGCCCCTGGCCCCGATATAATTTATCATGAGTAAGTCATCCACCTTAGGCAGAAGATCTTGAAGCGACGCCAACAACCCAATTCATCTAAAGATGGAGGTGTACTACCATGAAGTCCGCGCGCTGCTGGCATTGGTGCTGCCAAGCGCACTCTCCACGTACTGCTACTTTGCTGTGTCTATTACTGAGCTGAGCGTCATGGGTCACTTAGGCGTAGACGAGCTGGCCGCGGTAGCGTACGCGCAACTGTGTCTGGATTTGTCCACACTCGTGTTCATGCAAGGCTTCAATGGTGGCATGAATTCGCTTTGCTCGCAAGCTTTCGGTGCGAAGAACTATCACTTGGTGGGCGAGTACACGCTGCTAACGAGTCTTCTACTCACGGTTGCGTGTGCACCGATGGCTCTGCTCTGGTGGAATCTCGACCGCCTGCTCCTAACAGCGGGTGTTGCGGAGCACGTGGCCTTCTTAGAGGACAGTACGGTCGACTTTCGTTGCTCTGGTTGTGGCCACGTAGCATGTTTCAAGTGCTTGCTAGTTCCTACCAGGCGCAATTCATCGTCCTTTCAACCGCTGTCTTCGATGTTCTCATGGTCATTTTCAATTGCTTCTTCGCAATTGGGCTCACGTATGGTCAATTTGGACTGCCCGAGCTTTAATTCATTGGTTGTCCGTTGGGGACGGCGGTTGCGGTGGCTCTAAGACTCGTGAGCTACGTTGCATACATGAACATCTATCACCGGTACCATCAGCAATGTTCGTGGCGCTGGGATACCCACTTTCTCAATAAAGAAATCGTCTGGAATCTGGTATTCGTAGGCGTGCCGCTCGCAGCCGGTGAGCTACTGGAGAATGCGCAGCTGACCGTGCTGACGCTGTTTGCAGCCAAGATTGGTGAGCTCCAGCTAGGGACGCACAACGCTATGATGGAGTTATTCTTCTTCGCTACTTCGCCGCTTTACGCTGTCATCGGTGGCTCGGTAACAAGAATGGGTAACCATCTTGGAGCTGGCCAGCCGCCGTACGCCATTGTTGCAGCCAGAATCTGTGGAGTTTGTATTGCCACTCTCACCGTGGTCAACAGCGTGGTCATCGTTAGCACACGGCGGCATCTTGGCCGAATATTTTCGGACGATCCGGCGGTCACCACGGCGTTCAGTCAAGTGTGTTCTCTGGCAGCGCTCGCGTATACTGTGCTGTCATTTTTCTGCTATGCTCTGGTGGGTAGGGATTGTCTTAGTCATGTCGCCCTCTAACTGAAAAATGCCCTTGCACAGGCCGTTCTGCAAGCTCAAGCACGACCAATGCCACTGGCACTAGGCATGGTTGCTGGTGCTTGGCTAGTCGGTGTTCCTTCAGCTTACTGGATGGGTGTTCATACAGCTCACCCCAGTTTACTGGGACTTTGGAAAGGTATGATATGCGGGTATACGGTAACGTCTCTCGCCAGCTTTTACCCAGCGTTTGTGCGGCCAAACTGGCAAGAGGAGGCCGACAAAGCTGTCGCGCGCTCACATTTGAAAGAAAAAGAGCTAGCCTCTCCTCAAGAATCAGACCGCTTGTTAGCGTAGATGCAAAGTTATAGTACAACTATAGAGAAGTGAATGCATCGTGTTACTCCGTTTGAGTAAATACCCAATATTTTCGTCCTCCGTTTAAATAAATACTCAATATTTTCGTCGAAAATACTACATGATGGTGGTGCTTTGATTTCTGCAGGTTTTATCTGTCAGCTACGGTACTTGTGCAGCAAAACGTACCGGTACAAACGTATCATTGCGGTTTTAGATTAAAAAATAGCCGGTTCAAAAATCTTTTTGTAAGGAGACCGGTTGGACACCAGTTATTAATCGCCTTTCAAGTGTTATCTACCGGTATTCTTCACTCCGTCAATATATCAGGTTTGCTCTTTAACCGTCTACTCTCTCAGAGATCGCTGCTTACAAGTAAGCACACAGGAATCTGATAATTGTTTCTGATCCGGATCTGATTGAAGAGATCATCAAAGTCACCGATGCGACTCTTGCCCCCGTTAGCGCTGCTGGCTTGTGCCATCAGTACCCCCACTGTCGACGCATCCATCCCGCGCGCCTGCTCCTCCCCGGAGCACCAGCAATTCGCCTTCTGCAATGCGTCACTATCGACTGCCGAGCGTGTCGAGGATCTCTTACGACGTCTCCCGCTGGATGAGAAGGTGACGCTGTTGACCGCCCGTGCCAGTCCCAAAGGTAACATGAGCAGCATCGGCCTGCCCGAGTACAACTGGGGTGCAAACTGCGTGCACGGGGTGCAGTCTACCTGTGGCACCAACTGCGCCACGTCCTTCCCGAACCCTGTGAACCTCGGTGCCATTTTCGACCCACGAGCAGTGTTCGACATGGCCCAAGTTGTAGGGTGGGAGCTGCGAGCTCTGTGGCTTGAAGGAGCTAGAGAGAACTACGCTACGGGTCCTCACCTGGGTCTCGACTGCTGGTCTCCCAATATTAATATCAACAGAGACCCGCGATGGGGGCGGAACATGGAGACCCCGTCGGAAGACCCTCTGGTCAACAGCAAGTACGGCGTGGCGTATACTAAAGGACTGCAGGAAGGAAAAGACAAACGGTTCTTACAGGCAGTCGTGACGTTGAAGCACTACGCCGCGTACTCGTACGAACACTATGACGGGATTGACCGGATGGCGTTCAACGCGGTTGTGTCGAGATATGACTTTGCTGACACGTATCTGCCGGCGTTTGAGGCGTCGGTTGTCCACGGTAAAGCCAAGGGAGTCATGTGCTCGTACAACTCGGTCAACGGCATGCCAATGTGTGCCAACGAGCAGCTGAACTCCAAGTTGCTGCGTGATGCGCTGGGTTTCGATGGCTACATTACCAGCGATTCGGGCGCGATCGCAGGCATTTACCATCAAAGACACTATACCAAGACACTGTGCGAGGCAGGACGCTTAGCCATCCTGTCAGGGACGGACGTCAACAGTGGGAGCGTCTACAAACAGTGTCTGGCGGAGCTTGTGACGAGCGGACAGTTGCCAGAGAAGGCAGTGGACGATGCCATGCGTCGGACACTCAAGTTACGCTTCGAGTTGGGGCTATTTGACCCCATCGACGACCAGCCGTACTGGCACGTGGCACCCAACGAGGTCAACACGGCGGAATCGAAGCAACTGAGTCTGGATCTCTCGCGAAAGTCGATAGTGTTGCTGCAGAACCACGGCAATATTTTGCCATTAGCCAAGGGCAAGAAGCTGGCGGTGATTGGACCTCACGCAGCGGCCAAACGCGCTCTGTTGGGCAACTATCTAGGTCAGATGTGCCATGGTGACTACCTGGAGGTTGGCTGTGTGCAGACGCCATTGGAAGCGATCACTATCGCGAATGGAGCCTCGAACACGCTGTACGCGAAAGGTTCGGGAATAAACGACACGTCAACTGGAGGCTTTGACGAGGCTGAAGCTGCTGCGAGGAAAGCCGAGACCGTCGTCTTGTTCTTGGGGATCGACACGTCCATCGAGCGTGAGGCGTGGGATCGCGAGAACATCGACATGCCCAATATCCAGATGCAACTACTGAAGCGCGTACGTCGTGCTGGCAAACCGACTGTTGTGGTGCTCTTTAACGGCGGCGTGGTGGGCGCAGAGGAGCTGATTCTACACACTGACGGTGTCGTGGAGGCGTTCTACCCCGGATTCTTCGGTGCTCAAGCTGTGAGCGACATTCTCTTTGGAGATGCGATCCCAAGTGGCAAGCTCCCCGTCACCATGTATCCGTCCAACTATGTCACGAGTGTGGACATGAAGAGTATGAGTATGACCAAGTATCCTGGTCGATCGTACCGCTACTACAAAGAGGTGCCGGTGTTCCCGTTCGGTTGGGGGCTCAGCTACACGAGATTCACTATGGCTCTTGACAGCTCAAGTGGTGTGACGGACCCTAGTGAACCCATTGTGGTAACGCGTCAATTGGACCAAACGGTCACTGTTATCCTCTCGAACGACGGAAATCTTGTCGGAGACGAAGTCGTATTCGCGTTCTTCCGACCTCTGAAAGTCAATGCGACCGGCAACGCAGCGCTACTGAACGAGCAATTGTTCGACTACCGTCGTGTGAGTCTACGCCCCACGCAGTACCGCAAGCTGAAGTTTCGTATCCAGCAGAGCACTTTGGCAATGGTTGACGACTCTGGCAACCAGGCAAGCTTCCCTGGATTCTACGAAGTGATCATCACCAACGGTGTGCACGAGCGAGTAACGTTTGCTATTCACCTGGTCGGGGAGTTTGAGACTCTGAGTGTGTTCCCGACGGATACTGGCTATGTCCCCCCGTCAACCCAGTCGGAGAATACGCCCATCCATCTGGACGCCATGCGCGCTTTTGAGGGTGTTCCGGCTCGACCTACTGACGAGAAGCAGCCCGAGGCCGCGGTTGCCTTGGCTTTTGACTAGCCTTGCCTTTGATGCCCCCTCCCAAAATGAAACTCGAGCGAGAAAAGCTGGACTGATAAACGTGTGTGAATCTTGCTGTACACTTCAGAAGTACATGCAGCTAAGAGGCAGCTTCGTAACAATGAATCGATCACTTGTCTCCCCCCAAAACAACAAAGTCCTCTTCGTTGATAACTCAATCTGCCAGTTTGATCGACTTGCCACATTAAAACCCACTGAAGACCTTCGGCTTGCGATTGTTGATATAGATAAATCTGTAAGAGATCTACAGAATCATTTTTAGGCATTGAAGTTCGAGCAAACTTCTTTCGTCTACGACGCTTGCTCATCAGACAAGCCTGAACGATCTTCACCAATCCGACATGCTAATTCAAGAAAGGGTGACCCATATTCGTCGCAGAAAAGCAGCGAGTGAATGTACTACTGAAGTACATGTACTGTACATGTATGGCGAGTCTATGGGGTGAACTTTTGGGTGAATCCTCAACGAAACGTTTTCCCAACCTTCACTTTTGCCGTGGGCTAGCGCCACAACCCAACTTGATCTTTTTGGGATCCTCCTGATTCAGCAGGCGACGAGAGTCGCGAATCTTGTGCTATAATACCAAATGGGATTAATTCTAACGCTTTTCTTCTTGGAAATTATTGCTGGCATTAGTAGTTTAAGGACCCCAATAGATCTTACTTGCAAAGTACTACTGTACCGAATTGTCCAATTCAATGATACCAATTTCCTGTTTTTTTAAACGGACTAGATCAAAACCATTGTACATGTACCAGATTGCATGCGCGTTAGCAGTTAAGCACGCATGATCTAAAAATCAAAGAGCCGCACATGGAAATTTTGAGTACATGTAGAACGCACAATACGTACATGTATGCGAAACAGTGTTGCCGGCAGCGATTACTCACTCGACGCTGGCTCGGAGTGCGTCGATGATCACAATCAGGCCGTGTCCATTGAATTTTTAATACTTTCAGTTTTGAGACAGGCCTCTCGCTGTGTTAAATGTACTTTGAAGTACCCGCTTTAGCAATCTCGACGCTAGGTTCTTGAGGCATGCGCGAGTACTGGTATTGCAAGACCCCCCAGTTGGTAGCGCTTGACCGATCCCTGTCTCTGCTCAGCATCAAAACTCGAAGTGCAACCGATATCCACTTAGGGTAAGGGTAAATATTTTAGTGTCTCCTTAAGCCGTTGTTGACCTGTTTTTTTATTTTTAGTATTGCGGTCTGGGAGAAACTTTATAAATTGATATCATGCAAGCACAAAAGAGACGAGTCCCGAGTCTGGCCGTACAGAGCATCATCAAGCGTCAGCCTTCGGTGTCATTGCGAGACATTCCTCATTCCGCCTATTGTCGTCCTGCGTTCTGCTTGCATTACATTAATATTCGTTTGCAGCGCCATGGCTTCCACGGATGTGCTCTCGGACTCGTACATCACGCTGACGCCCACAGCAGCGTCTGGCAGCCAGAGGGGAGGCGCACACTCGTCCCCCGCCAGCGACCTACTGGCCCGCAAATGGGCGGCGGCCGCAAAGCGCAAAGCTTCGACAGAGATCATGAAGGTGAAGGAGCCGGAGGAAGACACCGACCGGGACTCGTCGCGAACGGAGACTGACCGCAGCTCGGAGATTGACAATGGCGACGTGGTTAGCTCTGACGGAGACGACGTTTCCTCCAGCTCGCGAGTGATCCCAGATTCGGACGAGGAGGACGAGGAAGGCGAGGACGAAGAAGAGGATAAAGACGATGATGCCATACCGACCTACGTGTGTGAGTTGCATGACCCCAAACCAGTACTCATCGGTAAGTTGGTGGTTTGTTGGTGTCTGATAACTTGCAAGAGTTGCTGAGACCGCTACTGTACTGTGTTGTGCTCAACAGCCGAGCAGGTTCCATGCAACCGCGTGGATATCAACGCGTGTGCGGCGAGCGATGGAATCACAGAGACCTTGCCGTTCCGTTACGAGATTTCAGTGGGGCGTGTACAGCAAACGTTCGCGTGCCCGCCATCTAGAGCGTTGGAAGTATTTAAGAAGATTTCTAGCGACAAGAAGTGCGCAGATCATTTGCGATTCATTGAGACAAACTGCCTTAAGGACGGATTTATCGGATCCCTAAAGCGGATGTACGCGTCTCCGGAACAGATCTCGACTGAAGTGAAGGACGTGCTGGAGGCCATTTCGGACTTGGATCCAGTGCTCATGAACCCAACGTATCTGAAACTTGTCGGTGCGACGAAGGGGTCGCTTTTGTGTCGAGAAATTGAAAAGATCGTGGAATCACACAGCAAGGCGCCGGGTGCTGACGCCCCGTGTATGTGCGACACATACTACAAGTCAGTAAAGCGTTACGGCGACTTTTTCCGCGAACAGGCAGCCACAGCTAACAACCAGTACCGCCAATCCACTGTGGCCAGCGAGACGCTCATGAGGTCACGCGGCGTGTTGTCCTACTACACCGACACCATCTACATGTTGGACAAGCGCGAGTTCCGCCCATTACACGGACTCAAGCTGTGCAACGTTTACGGCTTTGGACGTCGCAAACTGTTCGAGATTGTGCGTGTGTCCCGGAAGCAATGGTCGGTGCGTCATGTTGCTTATGGCGAAATCTACACGCTGTCGCTGAAGAAATATGCTGGCGGTGTGCACCACATGGTGGCGGTGAGGCGCATGGTTCCTGACGTGCAGAAGGGAGGTCTACGCCAGGAGAACGTGTGTTTTGTCAAGAAATCCAAGAGCCAAGGGTACCGCTGCTTGCTCAACTCGGAGGTGATATCGCAGGGTAAAGTCACAACGTCGATCTCAATCCAGAAGCCCAAGTCGCCACCTGGGGACCCTGACTTCCACTACGTGACCATGAGCGAAGTGTCCGGTCCGTCGCCCGCGTCGATTTGCAGCAGTACACTCAGTGTTCCATTCGAGCGCTACAAGCACATCCAGCGTCTGAATGTGAGCGGTGGTAGTGACGTCGCGACGTACATTGCACTAGCCGCTAGCTACGACATTCTTGTAGGAGCACTGAGCTACTGGATGGAGCGCAAGTATTGAGAGCGCTAGTAATAGATCCTGCAGGGCTAAAGCGAGGTGTAAGTATAAGGTGTGCAAATATTCAAAGGTGTCCGCACCAGGTAATACCAACTATTGGAACAAAGGATTCTGTAGGAAGAGGCTACGTGTGTACACATGTTCCTACATGTATTGGCAGGCATCTTCGTTCCCACCTGAACGTTGACAACGTGACCTGAAGCTCACTCGTGATTTTTCTAGCGGCAGTTTTTACTCGAAACCTCGTCAGAGTTGGTGGCCAGCGAAGTCACATAAATCAACAGCACAATTGGTTGTTGCCGACGAGGTCTGCAGCGACTGGAGTGAGGTCACGTCGCACGAGGTGATATTGGTGACGGCGACAAGCGCAGCAGTGGAGGCGACGACAGCAAACTTCTTCGACGGACGCCGAGATGGCTGCCAAATTCACCAGCACAGCCTGCCACTTAAGTCATCTCGCAATTCGAGACGCCCGGAGTGCACTCTGAGCAAGTTCGCCCTGTACGCTGACTTCATCACCCCGATGGCCAACTACTGCGCTGACAGTACCTCCGCCAGTTCGTCTACTCGCTCGTCAGCTGGTACCGACTCGACGGCCACCAAATTAACTGTGGCCTCCGACCACCTCCGCTCCACGAGCTCAGCAGTATCAGGAAATTAACCGAACGACTGCAAACTCGCCCTCGTCTAGAGACCCATTGCCTGACGGTAGACGACACCGTAGCAAGCGGTGGGACGCCCCCGTCGTTCTAGCGACGCGAATCCCCATCGACCGCATTGAGATAGGTGCCAGCATCGGCCGCGGGGACTTCAGTGAAGTGTGGCCATTAAGATGTTGCTGTCAGAGAAGCGAATGAACTTGGCACACATCCAGCCGAAGGTGCGGTTGAAGTTGAGAAATGGGCAATCATAGTTTTGTGCCCAATTGTCGATGAGGACGGATGTCATGAATTGGTGAAATGCCAGATCCCTTCAACAATTCAAACATACATGTACTACCGGTTCGGATGCTGTGGGCAATGGCTTTTGCACCCCTTCGGTAGAGTTTTTTTTTCGAGGGGTAATATTCTTCCAATCAGATACGGTGGCCAATGACCATCGCACCACCAGTCCAAATTGCGATTTCTTTGCCACGGCAACCGCAGCCATGGCGAGCCCCCAGCTGATCAAGGAGATGGAGACCAAGTACCCGAATCTGAGCGTGCTACCATACCGCGCGTTGGCGCCGCTGCAGATCAAGCTGCGCGATGAAAAGTCGACGCCCACTGAGTTCAAATTCTACGCCGACCGCCTCATGCGGATCCTGGCCGAGGAGGGCTTGGCTGCTTGTGCCAACAAGACGCAGACAATTGTAACCCCAACAGGCGACTCATTCACGGGCCTCGTGCCAGCCGAAAAGGTCTGCGCTGTGTCCATTATCCGAGCAGGAGACAGTTTGCTGCAGTCCATCATCGAATGCGACCCCACGGTCTCTGTGGGCAAGATCCTGATCCAGCGTGACGAGAAGTCAGAGGACAAGCACCCGGTCATGTACTATTCCAAGCTCCCACCCAATGTGGAGAAGCTGGACAATGTACTGCTGGTGGACCCCATGCTGGCCACCGGAGGCAGCGTCAACATGGCGATCAAGGTGGGTCTTGCGAGGCTGAATGCTGGTAATGATGCTTGCTCTGACAGTGGGCTGTTTTGTGTAGACTTTGATTGACGCTGGTGTGGAGCAGAGGAAGATTACATTTCTAAACGTCATTTCATGCCCAGAGGGGCTCGCTACACTGTTCAACGCATATCCAGGTAAGTTCTTGCTCGGTAGATTATTGTCGTGCATGTTGCTAACGGCAGTGCGTTATCCGTTCTACAGACGTGAAGGTCGTGACTGCTGGCCTGGACATTGGACTGAACGCCTACAAGTACATTCTGCCTGGTCTCGGCGACTACGGAGACCGCTACTACAACACCGTTTAAGCGAGATAGAGGAAATAGAAACATAGGCAGACTGACACATGTAGATGTGGTAGTATCAGCATAGTACGTATGTGCCCTACCATTCATCCACCCAGTGATTGCTTTACCGGAAGTATTCCGCTTGCAAAGGTAGTAAATACGTACGAATGAATACAGTACTGCACCCCGTTTTCGCGCCCTTGGACCTTTGATAAACTTCCGGATGCATTTCTTCAAAGTTCGCAGTACATGCAGTACCTTCCAGAATGCATTGCTTGGTTCGATATGTACCTATTGGCAAATACATGGACGTTTCAAGATTTTTTTGAAACCCACTTCATTATGGTGGTAACGAACAGGATCGACCCTCAAAAGCCGCGTTCTATAAAGGGTGTCGTCAATGGCCTGATACATGTAAATATATGTGGTATAGTGCCTTCAGCATCAACAGTGAAAAGTAAGCAGCGCTTACCGACATCGAACAACTGCTCACAGCTACACATATTATCATAAGTTTATCGGATACCATGTCAATATTATGGATACCTACTAGAAACTTTCTAGTAGAAAGAAGTAGCAGCAGTTTTACATTCAGGTGGGACTTATCTCTGAAATCCGGCTTGTGCGTTTGGGGCTATCCAGAATTCAGTCAGCCTGATGGGCACATTTCCGTTTCGAAGCCATATTTAAATATGCAGGTCGAAACAGCAGCAGTCCCACAATCTCTTTTTAAAAACTACAATCTACTAGGCAAGGTATTATACTTATGTAGGAACCTCAGCCTGGAACTCAGAAGCTTTGTGTCATTCTGCCAACCGGGAGGCAAGGAGATAGCAACATGTCTAGTGGTCCGGACTACTGCGGCTGGGGCGCCAAGCAGGGCAGCAAGGTGCGCACATGGAAAAACCGCTACTTCGTTCTGCGTGGGCGAGAGTTGGTCTATTATTCAGGAGCCAAGAGCGATGGCAGTGGCGCTGGGGTCAATGAGAAGGGTCGTCTCAAAGTGATCAATGTGGACTACTCTCCCGACCGAAAAAACGGGCTGCTCATCCACGGAGAAGGAAAAGACCTTAAGATGACAACCGCCAGTGCGCAAGAGAGTCGAGTACTGTTCCGCAGAATTAAAGAAGCAATCGGGGAGCAGGAGACGAGCTTCAGGCTGTCAACGCCACAGACTCAACCGAAATTGGTCAAAAGGACCGTCGAAAAAGACGGTTGGTTACTAAAAGAAGAGCCGCAATTGCAAGCGTGGAAGCGAAGTTATGTCATACTCAGTGGTAGTTCAGTCGAGTTTTGCGCTCATCGGAACGCTGCTCCCGTTGATTCGCTGACACTAATGAAAGTGGAGGCAGATGAGACTAGTCCGCTGTCACTAGGACTCGTTGCCAGAGGAGGAAAAGTGGTTCATGTTGCAGCCGAGACGAGAGACGAGATCGAAGACTGGGATCGAGCTCTTGCGACTGCTATTGGACAACCGTTGGCTCTGCAACAAGTGACGAAAGTGCAACAAGACGTTGGGAACCAAGAGATGGAAAGTATGACTGACACAGATTTAGTCGCTCGAAAGTACTCGACGGCAGTGTGTGAAGGTTGGCTCGAGAAGCTTGGACAACGCAGTAAAGTCTGGAAGAAGCGATATATGTCGCTGGCGAATGGAATGCTAGAGTATCGCAAAGGTCCAATGGAGCAGCTGTCGGCAGAGCTCTATGTCACAGACGTCAGATACAGCAGTGAACACTTGGATGCTCTAGAGATTGAATTTGGCTCCGATAAAGCGCTTACGAACGGTGACACCATCTGTGTAAGAGCAGAATCCGTTCGTGAGCTGGAGAGATGGATGGGTGCACTTTGTGATGCTGTCGGCAAACCGCGACTTGCAGATTTTTTAAAATCGGTATCTCCATTGAGTAGCAGATCGAGTGAAGATCGACAGAGCAAACCTCAACTGCCCCCGTTTCCAAGAAACGTGTTGCATTCTCAAGACAGCGATAAGTCCTCGAGTAACACCCAACCATCAACCCCTGCTAACACTGATCGCTCTTCTGGCACTCAAGTTACTGTCTCTACAACTGCAAACCGTAGTAAGCGGGGATGGCTGTACGAGCAAGACGATGTCGCATCGTCGTGGAAGCTGAGATACTTTATTCTCAATGGAAACACTCTCCACCACAACAAACACGTCAATGGAACGTCAGAAACCCTTGGCAGTGTGGCCAGCATTACGCGTAACTACGAGACAGCGGGATTTCTGTGTATTCAATTCGAAGATGGCAATACTCTGAACGTGTTCGGCGAGACAAAACCCGATACTGATGCGTGGTATGCTGCTCTGTGCAAGGCGTCCTGGAGCTCAGCTGAGAACCCACCGGAAGGGATGTCAGTTTCCAATCAAGACGAAGAGGAAGAAGAGCTCCACGCTGAGAATGGTTTCCGAGGGTGGCTATTGAAGAAAGGGCAGAACTTCAAGACCTGGAAGCGACGCTATTTCGTGCTTGAAAGCAGTCGACTTGCCTACAGTGCGACGGCTGATAGCGAAGTTTTGGGCTCTGGTGTGGTGTTCGACGTTAACGTGGGGGATCTCCGCCCCTTTTGCCTCAACATTCGCTTCCAGAATGGTCGTCTTCTTCACGTCGTGGCCCCCACTCATGAAGCGTTCTCGAAGTGGTTTGATGTGCTCCGGAAAGCGTCCAATCTGGCTGAGTCGTTTCTGTCTCAAAGCAATGGGAAAGCTGTGTTGGATGAAGAATTCGACAATGATTTGGGGGAGACCGCGAACGACGTGGATGTGGAGTTTACGGAGCAAGACTACGCCGAGTACGAGATATCTCTGCGCGAAGGTGAAGGAGCCTCGATGTGGATTGCTGCCATGCAGAGTAAACCCGAGTACGATGCGATCAGCTCGTCATCTTCCGAGCAAGGCGACCAAGAAGCGGCTGCCGTGGAGGTACACAGTTCTATTGAGCTATTTACTCACGCAAGTGAAGCATCTTCAGCACCGCTGAATGAGGCACAAGGTTGTGTCGGGTGGTTGAGGAAGGAAGGCGGAAAAGTCAAGAGCTGGAAGCGACGGTACTTTGCGCTGTACGGCTCAAGGCTGAGCTACTACAAGAGTGAAAAGGGATCTCTATTACGCTCCGTTAGCGTCGTCAGTATAGAGCCACATCCGACAGTCTCACTGGGTCTGGTAGTGTCTACTCATAGTGGTCGAAAGCTGATCATGCAGGCTGATTCAAACGAAGAGTTTGACAGATGGCTCAGTGCCATTCAAGGAGCTGTGGCTGGAGAGAACGAGAGGAAATTGACAGTGGTGGAAGCTCCAATGATGAACGTGGTCAGAGACACCAGATCGAGTGACGACTTGAAAGCCTCAGTTAGCCACAGTGGGTGGCTGCAGAAAGAAGGGCAGCGGTTCAAGACGTGGAAAAGGCGCTATTTCACTTTGAAGAATAGCGCCTTGATCTACTACAGTGAGGTCGGAGGAGTAGCGCGAGGTCACGGCATGGTGAAAGGTGTGCATCAGGATACCAAGCCACTTACTCTTGTGATTGAGTTCCGTAGTGGCAAGACCATGCGTGTGACAGCGGTAAGTGAGACGGAGATGAACGCGTGGCTTCAGGCCTTGTCACGAGGTCGTACCTCCAGTAGTGTCATGACCGTTGTCTCGGAGATGACCGATGATGTGGTGGACTCGGAGAGTGACGAAGACGATCCAGAGCGTGCAGCTCGCATTAGTCGATTCGATTCGAGCGACTATATCAATGATACGATGACGAACGACACGATCATGCGTCTTCAAGACGAAGAAGGGAAGGGGACAATGTTGGAATCTCGCGTCAACATTTCTCGCTCTTTCAAGGGAGAGCTCACGTTTGACGAGGAAGAAGAAAAAGAAGACATGGGGATCAGCACTACTGGTGCAGATTACTATCGAAAACTACTCGCTGAAGATGAGCGAGTTCAACAAGAACGATCAGATGAAAACCTAGCGAAAGGAGAACCGCCGATCACCGGATGCGCGCCGTGCTGCACGGTGATGTAGGGATCATGGGCTTCATTGACGAACTCTGTACTCTAGATAGTACACTTCTACTTTTAGACGCTCATTTGTTTTTCTTGATTCTTACTTTATCGTTTCGGTTGGTGGGCCCCCAAATGTGATACACCAACTCGATCGGGCGTCAGGATGGACAAGAAATACGATTCCTGCAGCTACAAGGCGCGTCGTACGTTTCTCGGCGGGGAGTTTGAAGTTCGAGTGTTCGAAGTGGACGACGCTGGTGTTGCCGCGGTTGTCTTTCAGATCTCGCAGGATCATGGCCCACCGCTCAAGTTTTCGCGAGTGTTTACACGAGCTGAGCTGGACAAGGCCGGTATTACAAGAACCTTGGACGGTCATGTTTTGCTTGTGGACTCCCTCGAGCTGGTCGAAGACGCGTATTTTACCGGCAACGACGCGGTTACTGCCGGACAGAACATGTTGGCAGCATACCAGCTGTCATCCACGCTTCCTGGTATCAGCATTCCGCCGCCGATCGTGTCACACGAGGCAGCTCTGTCCTACTTTTCTCGAGCTCCAGTGGGGCTCAGTACGTGGAATAACAGCCGAGTACCGGAGGAGGAGAATCTGTTGGCGAATTTGGTAGTGAAGGGGCTGACGGAGTTATGTCGCGAGAAGCCACCGGGACTAGAAGCAGTCAAGTGGCTCGGTAACTGGTTTCTTGATCACAACCCAGCACAACCGAAGGTGGAAGTGGATGACTGAGAGCGGGATTTCATGGTAGTACTGCTAACAGAACAATGCCAACCCCACTTTTATAAAGCTAGCTTTGAATGATACAAAGATGGAGCAAATGCATGAGGTGTAATGCCAATCATGTATTCCAACACTTGTAATGTCTACAGCGAACCGTCGCGACTATTGACCCTCTTCACTCGACTCTTGCTTGAGGATTCGACAACCATGGCGGACGAGCTGCAGTCGTCCGAAGAGCTGGCATTTGTAGCTGAGGAGGTAGATCGCATCATTCTCACGTCCATCGAGAGCTGTCTGAAAGACGAAGTGTACGATGAGCTGAAGGTATCGCAGTGGGTCGACTACATCTGTGAGTCCATCATGAAAGGACTTGGTGAACTGCGGAAGCCGCTTAAGTACATCGGTGCGTAGCATCATACTTGCATTATTTACTGCTCATCCCTGATAACAGGAAGTCCAGTGAGCTGTCTTATCATGCAGAAGAATGGCGCTGGCGTGCATGCCTCAGTCTCCTGTCACTGGGATACCGTCACAGACGGTAGGTTGTGAGCCAGCTTTTATATTTTCTTAATTAACTAACACCACCCTTGTCATCTTCAGGTGCACACGTCGTCAAGTGGCCGGGCGACAAGCACAAAGATCACAACCGGAGCATGTATTGCATTACCACAGTGAGCGGGCTAAGCTTCTAACACGCAAAATACATTTCGTGTAAAAAAGTTTTCTGCTTCAGGTGCACAAAATTCTCTAGACGCTTAGCTCACTCGGTTTTTGTATCGTTCTTCACTAAGTACGAAACATCAGAACCTGATTTCCCACAAGAAAGGCATCCAATTCGAGTAGCTCACACCTAAAGTATCCAAGCGGGGAAGAATGGGACGCGAGGACCCCGTGACGTATGCTGGCTGGGTGTTTAAGGAGGGCAGTCTTGTGCGCTCGTGGAAGAAGCGTTTTCTTGTGTGCAAGCGCGCAGAGCTGGCCTACTATAAAAACACGGACGAAGAGAACCATGCGCAACTTTTGGGGGCGCTGACCGCCGCGCACATTGAGCGCCTGCCGGACATCACGAACGGACTGCTGATCCACGGCACCGAAGGACGTCAACTCAAGATCTTCACAGACACGAAGCAGGAGTATGACCGCTGCTACGAGGCCATTTTAAAGTATTGTAGGATGCAGAACCCAGGCGATGATGCGCAGCAGCGTGTGGGCTGGCTTGAGAAAGAAGGCCAGCACTTCCGTACGTGGAAGAAGCGCTATTTCGTACTCAGTGGTACACAGCTAACATACTCGGCCACCATGGGGGCTGAGAGATTGGGCGGTGGCATAGTTATTGGAGCCAGAAGGGACCCCACTAGACCCTTCACATTGGCAGTGACGTTCGAAGGAGGACGAGAGATGAGAGTTGGAGGAAAGTCTGAAGTGGATATTGACGACTGGCACAAGGCACTACGACGTGGGCTGCTATATGCTCAAGAACAGCGGAAGAGTCAGCAGGGACGCCCGTCGGTTGACGACGATCCCAGGAATGCCAGAGAGAGGGAGTTTAACAAACGACAGGCCAATGCGAGTGCTGCTAGTGCTGCCAGTACTGAGGTGACGGACGAAGAGGCCAGCTCGCTGTTTGGTGCGGCGCCTATCGATGTGGAAGACGCTCCTCCGTCGTATGCGAGTATCGCGGCGCATAATGATGAAGGTAAAA